TCTCTTCAAGTAAAATTGTTTCTAACCTTAAAATTGCATTATCAAATTATCAAAAAAGCAATTTTTTTTTGAATCCACGTAAGTTTCTCATTTTTCTCTTTTTTCAAAACAGTTGCTAAGTTTGCTTAAATCCTTATCTTACCTTACAACTAGATATAGATTACCTTCTTCATAGTAACTTGCAGCCTGCTCCGATAACTCCGAACACACGACTATTTTCACGTCTGAGTCATCGTTGTACCTAGAGCCCCTGCATTAGACAGGCCGACTCATCATCTATTTTTGCTCCAAAGAGCTAACATAAGCACAATACTAACATAACGTTAACTTGTGAACTTTTTTGCTCCAATATTGCTTGATATGTCAGCTCTGATAGTATAGGAGCCTTAGTTGTACCGGTTGACGTCAAAATGATGTTTGAAGCATCGGAAAAGATTAAAATCACTTTGCGCAAGGTCGGGGTTGTATTGAGGGGTGGTCCAAAACTTCCCAGCCAAAACAGTCCTATAAATTTCTGGACTGAGCTGTGGAGAGAGTCATTGTCATGGAGAAGCAGCAAAATTTCCTGTCAGCATGACAGTAGGAAACTTCGTAAACTTCACAAATCTGTCGGTAGTGAACAGGTTTTTTGCCGACTAAAAACGCATCATTCACCGTCCCTCATATGCGGCTGGCGATTGGTTAAACTTGAACATTTTAAAGACACAGAACTATCCGTACAGGTTACCTACATAGCTGTAACTGAGCACAGTTGTTCACAAGGAGTGCCAGAACGCGACGCATGCTCTATTAGTGTACACAACAAAACGGCCCTTACTTAAGAAACAGCCCTCGTACATACGTTTTCATAATATTTTACTTTTTTTGCTTATTTTACACCTGAAAAATACATTCAAATTCATCAAAATTCAATTATTCTTTTACTATGTTTGTATGTTAAATTGTTTCAAACCACTGAATTAAAATGTATGTTTAGATCATTTAAAATAAAAATTCTTCTTCCCTATCATTAATTTATAGTTAATAATTTCATTTCAAATTTAATAAGTATAAATTCGCATGCATAGTTAAAAACTCAAAGTAAAAAATAATCGCAGTTTTCTTCTAGTTTTAATACAAGATAAGTATTTAAAAACAACTACGAAAAATTATGTTTCATATTAAATACAAGAAAAAACAACGAATTTTTTTTTTAAAGTTTTAAACTACATATGCCTAGGAATTTCTAGAGGAATTAAATTTAAGTAATCAGATAACGACGGGAAGAAAGCTCCTTCGAATTGTAAACTCATGTACATGAATTAAGGTTAATACCAGCTCTGGCAAATACAAGTACCGATATATAACAAACGGGACTCAATTATAAAATTCTGTTATTACATAGAGAAAAAAATATGATACCATTCATAAAAACTACGAATTTTGCACCATGGAGAAATTATACACAAAATATATCCTTACTAAAACTAACAGACAACTTAATACTTATCTTAAAAATAGTCTTTATACTTGATTAAAAAATAGTCGAGAAAATTTTGTATTGTAATGTATACATTTTCTTACATCATTTCTCAAAGTGCGTAGCATTTACATGGCAAAATACAAAATTTACGAGAATTCGATTGTATAGTTTCTGAGAAATCGAATTTTTAAGAAGTTATATGCATAAAATTTTATTTCTCAAGAACTATTCAACTAATTTCGCTAAAATTTTGTATTTTGCCATGCAAAATTACATACTTTAAAATGGTGTAAGGAATTGTATACCTTGCAATTCAAAATTTCTTCGACTATTATTTCATAAAGAAATAAAAAATAATAAATATTTACTGAAAACTATTTTTTGTATGGAGTTATCTTTGAAAAAAAGAATTATCTAACTGTGTGCAGAAATTTTTTGAACAGCTTAAAAAGTTTTCAAGAAGCGGTGGAATAAGCAAAAAATAAAATTATCATTTAGGGTTTCCAAACTTTGGATAGCTCTTCTAACTATGGGAATTCTATTTCCAGATTTGGCCTCCCCCTGTATTTTAGGAATCCGAAATGCTAATTCGTTGAAAAAAGGTATGTTTATTTAAAGAAAGAACTTTTTTGTGTTTGATTTCGTTACGTAAAATATCGTCTGCACTAATTAATTAGTATATTTGAGGTCATCTTTTCAAATCACGAAGAATGAGTCCTATAACATGAAGATTGGATCATTTGATCAAAAGTTGTTCAGGGTAGTCCGTTTTTGTCCGGCACACTGTACAAGAATCTAACTTAAAGCAAGAATTTAAATTTAAATTTTAGGCAAAATTTTTAATTATAATTCACAGCATGGGTGAATTAAAATATGCATAGTTTTTATGATGCATAAGCATTTGCTATCACGCGTAATAAATTTTATTAAGCATAATAAATACCTGTATTATCGATTTTATTCCTTACAGTATTTTAGCATCTGTTACATTCTTAGTAACCTTTAACCATACTAGTTCTAGCAAGCTTTTTCTTCTAGCATCATTTTGCATAAAATTATCAATACTTAATTCAAACAATAATTATATTTGCCATAATTACTTCTGAATTTTGATCATAATTCATACTCCATTTATGCGAAACGTTAAAAAATGCAGCTATAAAAATTTTATTTTTCGAACACTATACATCTTATAGCACTGAAATATGAGAAATATAAACTTTATATTTTGAAACTTCAAATATTTTGAATAAAATTCCAAATATTTGAATTTCATAAAATACTGGATCAAAAAAGAATAACACATTCCTTCGTTCGATTCAGGAGAAAATTCGCTTCTTTCATCGAAGATAAACATTGAAAAAAAAACCGTTACAGTTTCAAAGAAGTTTATCGTGCATCTTTCAGAAAACCATTTTTTATATTCTGAAAGAACCATTTTTTTAAAAAAATTCTAAAATTTCAATATATTTTCTCATAGTTCGAAAGTTTAATAATAATATGCTAACATTTATATTATCATATTATTATTCCGCTTCTCTAACCATGAGATAAATTATGCAAGAATATTATGCATAAAACAGAATATTATATAATGCGTAACCACTAGACCATATAAAAGAATATATAACCAATTGGATGTAGTTAAATATGATAATATTTAACTAAACCCGATTTGTAAATATTGTCTTTTATTTGGTTTGGTTTTTATTAAATGCAATTTTTTTGATACCTTATTTGGTGTATACAAACAAAGAATATGAAAAGGAGAAATCCAGCATTTCAAATAAGTAACTAACGCGGGATACTGCTCTGTTCGGTACGCTATACCAGAAAAACATCGTACAAGGTGAGCAGCATACTCAGATTTAGCAGAGCCTCATTTGAACAGTTCCAGCACATGCGCATATGAAGCAAAGTGACAGTCAGGAAATACGTCTCCTGTGAACCGGTTGTTAACAGTACAGAGCAGTTTATAAATAGTGTAAAAATACAGAGCAAACCAACTGTTTATCAATAGTGTGAAAATATAGAACAAACCAACTGTTTATCAATAGAGTGAAAATACAGAACAAACCAACAGTTTATCAAGAGCATGAAAATACAGAACAAACCAACTGTTTATTAATAGTGTGAAAATACAGAACAAACCAAATGTTTATCAATAGTGTGAAAATACAGAACAAACCAACTGTTTATCAATAGTGTGAAAATACAGAACAAACCAACTGTTTATCAATAGTATGAAAATACAGAACAAACCAACTGTAAAAAAAAGAGAGAAGCCTTTTCCTCTTCACCCCGATGCTTCCCCATTCCCAGTATTGGAGATAAGGGTGCAAACCCGTTTATAGAACCTCTGCTGTTGTGCCCCTAAATGTTGTTATTTCCTTTATGCACAGGGACCACACGTAAACTAAGGGGACTAGTTTACATTATGTCGATGAAATCTAGACTTCTTCTACTATGTGTATATTCTTTGTGTACAAATAACCCATGCATCCGTCTAAATTTTCGAAATAAAACATCGTATATGCCATAACGTTTTGCTCATGTGTAGTGTGTGTTTGATGTGTGGCTATGAAATTACTAACAACACGCGACGTGTTTGTCTGATTATCTCATGATAACTCTGATAATTATGACTGTCATATTAAAATATTTTCGATAAATTACATCGTTTAATACACTTTTACACAAAGACTGTTCAATTTTTAATCTATTAATGATACTTTTCTTCGTTTAATTTAAATTAAACCTCTCCGTTTTCCATTTACTAAAATGTATTCCATTTTTGTTTCACTCAAACATTGACTCATTGCCTGTAGCAATGCAGGTTTTCCATTTTGTGCAACCAGTTATTTTAAAGTACTTTCGCAGGAAGCATCTGCCAGCAACTAGGAGGTCTGATGACAATTTACTGGATATTTTTATTTATTGCTTTTATTGGGTCATTTTTATTTCATTTTTTTTACTTCTTGTTCTTTAAAATCATTTATTTTTCATGTGGTAATGGTATGTAAGGTACAATTTAAGTAAAAAGCCTCCATTCGTAATTAATTTTATTCTTGGTAAACCCTAGTCAAATAAAAGTATTTTTCTGAATAAAAAAAAATCGTCTTTTTTTATTTAAACTTGCCATTTAATTATTCATTTCCATTTTTATTTATTTGCCATTTAAATTCTTCAGAAACTTGCGGCTTTAATAAAAACTCCATGAAAATGCAATGGTGTTTATATTTATACATTTCGAATGACTATCATAACAAAACATCTATTATTAATTGTAAATACCAAAATCCTAGTCAATAAAATAATTTCTTTGAAAATGCCTTTATAAGCATCACGATTTTTTATATATAAAATCAGAATTCACTTATTCCAACTATGCACACAAAAAAAAAATATCTCCGGAGGATATTTTAAAAAATCTAAATCATTGCTCAAAGCTTTACGCATTCCAAAACATTACACTGAGAAGGGGTAGAGGCGAGAGTGAAAATGCGAAGGTCTCGACGCATGCGCAGTGGGGTGGGTAGGCGATTGTCAACAGACGGAAGCGCATCTCTCTCGTCCATCGATTCCGAAAGGTATCTCGAAACTTCATTACCAAAGGTAAGTTACTCTTATTATTCATTACCCCTTATCTATAGTACCCATACATTCTTTCAACTATGGGCAATCCCTCTACGGAAAAAGAAAGTTCGAAGTAGAAGTATGGGAATCGAGGAGTATAAAGAGCTAGATGAATATCCGCATTCTAGAATCCGTCGGAATAGTTTATCCGCATCTTTTCCTGTGACGTAGTTTCAGAATTTATTCCTCCTCGCATAGTAAATGTTAAGTGCTATAAATGAGCTATTTACGTGGCGTTTATTATTTTCAGAAATATCGTTAGTAATAATGATTTGATGAAAGAAACTTTAGTTTTATATTTTTGTGAAGAATATGTAACGGTTGCACAATATATAATTCAGCCAATCTACATAATAAACTATTAAAGTATTGTTTGCTAAGGATGTTTTCATGCTTTTAAATTGTTAAGGATATGTATAGTTCTGTTATGAGATTCTATTTTTAGAAGAACATCGTCATAAAATGTCGTAGTTTGGGAGAGTGTTTAGATTAGCAGTTGTGGAATGTAGGTCAAGGCTAATTTTCAAGGTTAAGCGGATGCTGCTTGTTTTATGTCTTTATATTTGTTTTATTCCTACGATCTTCTCGTATTATAGTGGATATTGCCATTTCTGTCTATTCTTAGTGTTTTAAACTCAAACTGCATATTTATATTTAAAAACATTTACACATATTTTAAAACTACTTTACTATTTTTTTAACAAACTAACTATGACGATTGAAATTCTTTTAAAATTTTAGATTTAGAAAATAAGAAAAATGTATTATTTGTTTTAAAGAATGCAATGTTATGACAAATAACATAAAATTACAAGACTAACCTAAAACTATAACCAGTTAAAGAAACTAAGTTAATTTGTGTTTGACCAGTTATTGAAACTTAGAATAACAAATGTATTTCAATGACACACACATTTGTGATTCTAAGTTTTACTTCTCACTTTTTTCTGCTTTTAAGATGTTTACATTTTATAAACAAACACATGCTTAGTTAAGAAATTATAAATTTATTGTTTATTCTTGATATGTATGTTAACTATTTATTTAAGTCTTTAAACAGAAATTGTTTTAAGAATTAAGGTATAATTATTGGGCGTAGTAGCCTATAAATATTAATAAAATTTAAATTAAATTCGATGCCAACAAGCTACTATTTAAACTTAAAAAAATTCCAAAGTTATGTAATGGGTGCCTACTTGTACCTCAAATGTGTAAATGATGACTAACAAAACAAAGAAATGTATCATGCTTTTTACAATAAACTTGAAATAAAGGTGTTGTTAAAATGTAGAAAAAACTTATGAAATATAATGTCACTAAATTCTTACATTAAATATTTTTCTTTTACTAATTAAAAATGCGAAAACTTATAAGGGTAATCGCATTTTATAATATGATTATTAATAGTTATGTATGCGCATTCAACATAACTATTCTACATTTTAGCAAATATATTATCAAATCTTTATGGAAATAAAAATATTTAAAATAATTAGTTCAAGAATAATAATACATACAGAATAATATATAGAATAAGAATACAGAAATATAAAAACAACAAAATTTTGACAAACTTTCCTAAAGTTTTTCCCGAAAAGAAACGTTAGATACATAACATTTTATGATACCTAGACTTACTTAACATCTTTTGAAAGTTTGATAGAAATTACTTGACTTTCTGTTTCTTTTTCAACAGATTTTAACCTTACGTTAAGTAAAAATACTCATTTCAGGAATTTAAAAATACTAATTTTAAAAGGTTTATTCTTTGATAACAATTAAGTTTACATTTAATTTGAAATAAAAATTTGAGAGTTAATTTATAATTCTCAGATAAATATAATTATTGTATAATTGTAATTATTCGTTTCATTTCAATAATTTATATTGTATAATAATTCATAATTGTTGTAAATTTACAATTAATGGAATTAATATAAATTAAAGCTGTAGTTATCGTTTAATATTATTTTCAAAATTCGTTTTCCAATTAAACGAGCCAATTTCAGACATTCATGATGTTAATTGAGTCAATGTAACATCAAAAAAAATTTTTTTTTAATTGTGTCTAAATATTTACAAAAAAATAATAAAGGCATAAATTTGCTTTATAATATCTTCAACAAATTGTAGAAATAGTTAAGTTATATTACGTACAATTATTTAAAATAAGCACATATTAATTAAAACGAAAGAAGCGATAATATTTGAAAACGAATACTTTAATATACTTCATAAGGACATTTAGTTTTAGTTTAAAAATTTAAGATATGTACTTTGAATTGTGAAATAATAAGTTAAGAATTGGTTAATAATTAAAATATGAAATAAAAAAATTTCAACTTTTGCTTGAGATATGTTTTAAAAGAAAATTAGCATTTCTTAAATAAATACCACTTTAAGTTATATATTTTTAATTTTTTATTGAAAATTACTCTATCTAAAAATCAAATGTATTATTTTTTTTTCTAATCATATCTATTATTCATGGACTTATTTTATTAAACCTTAGGCTCACTTAGGTATGTCAAATGTTTATTCTTTTTTTAACCTTTCGTTACTGCATTCGACACAATTCTTTTTTTTAAATTTATATAAATTTTTTATCTATTTTAAATAGATAACAAATTATTCATAATTAAAATTCAGAGCATACAATTCATTTTTGATAAGAGCAAGCAGCTCCAAGAAATTTATTTTATTAGTAATTGCGAATCAGTTGATAGTATAACAGTTACAATCTAAAATGTTTATCTAAATGGAATGGTAATCCGAATAAAATGTTAATCTAAATGAAATGTATATATAAACGTTTTACGAGTAGAATTTCTATGATATAATAAGAAAATTATAATTAAATAGTTAATCAATAGTCATTATTTAGCTATTCAATAATCAGTGTCATTAAACTATTTTTTTTAAACATAAAGACAAGTATTTTTAAATGAATTTTCAATTTATTTTTTTAAATCAGCCTCCAGTCAATAAACAATATTTAATAGTAATCAAATTTGACATATTCCAAAAAAGATTTTCATTAAGAGCGATTTTTACCTGTCCCGTAAACATCCGGTTACGGCAAACTTGTTTCTCCTAAGTAAGACTCCAAATGCAGTAAAAGTGCATTTAAGAAACGTCTCCCAAGGAAGATATCCGAAATGTCACTCGCCAATCTAACCCGTTTTTTTTTTCTTTCATTGAAAAAATTTGTTAGGTCCTGAAATCAATTCAAAATGTGTTCTGTATACTACGAAGTAATTATTTCTTTGTAATTACTGGATTAGTAGTATGTAGCTGTATTTCCTAATGATTACTATTACAATTTTCCCTTGGAAATGTCGCCAATTTTAAATTATTCCCCCAGATTAAGAGGGTTGCTGGGTACAAAAAATCAAACTATTTGCAGTTTTTTTCTTTTATTGATCATTTTTTTAAAGTTCTGATATCAATTAAAGAAAAAATTTCTGTATACAACGAAGTAATTATTTTTTCGTGATTACTGTATTAGTAGTATGTAGCTGTATTTCCGAATAATTACTATTACAATTTTTGTCTTGAAAACAGAGTCAATTTTAGTTTATTTCGACTGAATAAGAATATTGTTGTCTATAAAAAAATACTTTAAGACTTTTCTTCTTTAATAGGTGAGATTTGCCAAATTAGGCTCAACATAAATAAACCCACCCAGGTTTTTCAGTTGGGCCCACGAGATAAAAAAAAACTCGGGTTTTTTTACGAGCTGTGAGGGCTCATGAGGATAGAGCGTCGCTTTTTAATGAGATGAACTAGGTTCAAATCTCAGCGGTGGTTGGTTTATACGAATTCTTCTCCCGATTCACACTGATCACAGTGCTGAAATAAGATAATTTGAGTGGTAGACGTTTAATAGGTCAGAATCCCGTTAACGTCGGGCAAACTGTGAAAGGTTTTCTTGGTTTACTTCTCCATGTAACGCAAATGCAGGTAGTTCTATCAAAAAGTACACTATGAAGGCTAGTTTGTCCCAATGCTTTATCCAGGAGTTCCTTTGCCTTTAGCATTGGATTCAAAATTACAAGACTACACAGTTGATAGTCGTAAACTCAGAATTAGGTCAGTTGTTCAACAAAAAAATTATATAACAACAAAAAATTCAATAAAAATATAAATAAAGAAGTAGTTTTTTTTCTAAAAGTTTACTATGCTAAACTTTACTGAATCAATGGATTTTACTTCAAAAGCAAAATAATTGTATACACCTTTGTCATTTAAACAAAAACTTCCAAACAATTAAAGATAAATGAACTTGATAATTTAGCTTTCATTATTATATAATTAAGTTAAATTAATTTGATACATAAATCGAAATGCTTTCAACTTGTTTCAAATGTGGATTTAAAATATGAAGACCACATTGTTGATTGGGGTTCGTGAAACCATATGATTTTATTTTTAAATTTATATTAAATTTTTATAATTATGTTTCTAAAAATCACAATTCCATATCAATTTATTGACTTTTGATATAATACAAATTTGCATTCTTTGAACATCTGGACAGTTTGTATTCATTTTACTATAAGTATCAATATACTTCCTTTATAAAAAACTATCAGTTTTTTAGAAATAAAATTACTTACGTACCTCGAAAAAGTTATTGATTTTTCTCGAGCAAGCTGCAAAGATATAATTTATAAATCAAGATTATACATCACTATAAAACGTAAAAACTACTTTTTTAAAATTTGAATCATATCTATGAAATTAATTAATATTCATTTTTTTTAACTCGTTGAAATGCAATTAGGTTTTGGAAAACTTTTTCTTAGTTAAATGTAGAAGTTGAGATTCAAATTTTTTTTCAGGTTAAAAATTTATTTTAATAGGTTTTGAATGTTTGGTGAACAAATCCGTGAGTAACACGTAACACAAGAAGTGGCAAAATATTACCAAACATATAATTTCCGGGTTTACTAACGAATCCTGCAATCTCATCGAGG